GGAGCGATGGTTTTTATCTCCTTAGGAAAGAGTGTATTTAATATTTTACTAAAGTGTCTTTTACTTTACATGTATACACTAATTTACTCCTTATTCATAAAACAATTCGTATCCTTCGGCGCCACTATATAGCCTACGTTATCCAAACTTATAAATTAAAGTTACAATAACATGTAGCTTTCTATATGTGTAATCATTTACAATTCTGTCAAGTATATTAAGAGTTATATGTTACAAGCAAACATATAAAAACTAAAATGTTTCCGCTTTGTAATATTAGTATAGGAAAGGCCAAATGTCTAATAAACCTGTTACAGCTGATGGAATTTTTTGTTATTTTCTCTCAAGATATAAATAAAAGCATTCCCTTCCGTTACAATTTCTGTGCTTGTTTTTTTTATTATTCATCACTATACACCTACATTTTGGTGTTATAAAAATTCAATATTATTGTAATGTAAATATAAAAGAAATGTACAATAGCGGTTCCCGCCATTTCATAATACAGACTATTATTTTGTAAATTCCACAGACTGCGTTATAATGACCATCGACTACAAATATCCCAAATAAACTCGACCAAAGACAATAGTTACAAATACTATAATAATAAATGCAAAAGTTTTTAAGGATGAATAATGTATGTTTGTTTCTTTTTTATAAAGAAACTACTAGACAGATTCAAATGAGATTTGGTACACAGATAGAGCACATCCTAGATTAACATGTAAGGGGCTATACATATATTACGACACATCAATTTAATCGATTTTTGCTCCTCTCCTCCCTGTCACAGCAAATAGTAAAAAAATTCGTGTTCTATATTATTTTATTCTATATACTAAAATTAAAATCTAAGAAACCTCCTAAAAAGTCCTTCGTGTCATATATTTTACACGAATTTTGTTACTTATCCTCTTGTAAAATACATACAATGTAAAATAATAATTATATCTGCTACCGTGCTTAGCTTGGCAATGTTTTTTTTGTAATATTGTTTTAGCGGAGAAAACTTGAAGAGTAAATCAAAGAAGTCTTATTGCAAATACTTAGAAACTCCGTTAAATTATATTTAAAGTGGTTTTCAAAGTAACTGTACGTACGTACTGTAGTTAAATACACAATATATATAATAAGATACGGCAGGCCATAAATTTGGTCGATAATGAGAGCGATACAATAATCGAATATCAAATCAAAAAATCCACGGCGTATCGATAACCTCATTATTTTTGGAGCCGGTTAAAATAGAAACCAACCCTTTTCAAAGTGGGTTAAGATGCCATCGCGCCTTACCATACAATTACGTCGGGCAGCACAGGTATGTTAGTACAAACAAAACTGGGTCGTAGACTTACTTTCACCGCAAGGTCAATGACAACGGTCTCAAGACAAGTCCACGAGACCTGTCTCTTAGCAAGCGACTAGCCAGCGAACTGAATGACTAATATCAATGAAATGTTATACCACCACATGATTGACTGTACCTACCACCACTGCTACCTGGATGTGAACGAATGAGAAGTCTATTTCATAGCAGATGTAGCTATCCACTATATATAAAAATCAGGTATAGAGTGTTTTAGGGGCCATCTATAAAATACGTTTTTTTAATAATAATAACTATCGCCGGATGTTAATATTAAAAATAATAATTTTATTTTTACTTGTTTTATATTTTTTTCATCTATATCAAATTTCCTATTACTAATGCTCATTCTATTCTTATTTGCTTTTTCATTAATTATATATACGTCGGTTGTATAACCACTACACATCTACATATACTTATTTAGTGTCTTTTGCTTTTGCTACCTTAATTATTACATTTTTATAATTTCCAAAAATTTTATTCTACCTTTTCCGTTTGTTATAATTTAGTTGTAGTTTCTTCTTCTTCCTTTATTTTTATGCCCATATCTGTTTCCAGATTTATTCTTTTTGCTTCTATGAAATACGTTACATATTAATGGAATCTAACGTTATACTGGCGTGTCACCAGTGGAGGATAATAAGATGAGCATGAGGTCAGGTCAGTTGGCCCATCGGGATAAATTCAACAGCAATTTATCACGATAGTTTCCAAGTGAATAACTATGGGGTTATCAATCTCATTACTAATAATCCCTTTCGCCTCTACGTTACAGACCTTAACTATCATATTTTGGATTACAGTTTGAAGATCTGTATGTAAATACATTTTTTGTGCGTAGTCTAATTATTATAATACAAATACGGATATAGATATTTTCCATTTAACACTGCTTCAGTTCCAGATACAGTTGAAGTTCCACCGTATACAGTTAAATTAAAGTACTGTAAAATTATATTTAATATTGTACCTATTTATTTTTATATAAATATACCCTAATTATTTGTAGTATTACGTAGTTCTATATTATTTTCTATTTACTGTACTTTTTATTAACTAGCCTTATCTAGCGTATATTGCATGCATATATATATATGTACTATACAATTTACCTTCTGGGCATACATAGTGTTGAGTTACAATCCAGTTTTGTACCAATTGCACACTTCCAGACAGATGCTTGGACTGATGGTAATCTGGTCGGTAGTCTAGCAGTCGGTATCTTGGTTTAGCATACCGCATTACTTTCGATGGTGCGAATTCGATTCCTAGCACGCTGCAAACATTTGTATCCATGAGTATGATGGTTTGTATCGTGCTGGGCGCTTTCTATGTATATATAAAAAAACATATTACGCCGACCTAAAATAAATGGGATATGGAAGAAGGAGATAATGATGTTGATGATGATTTCTAAAAAAAAAATATTTAGCTATTCAGTTGTCTAGTACCCATAATTTGTATTATCTCTGCTTACCATGGGACTAGATGGCACTGTATTAATTGGGTTATGAGTTATTTATTATTATTTTCCCTGTATTTTTTATAGTTTACGGTAAACATTTAAACGTGATCGAGTGACAAACAAATAAATAGAAACAAACAACTTTATTTACGTACCTACTTTCACATTTTGATGTTATAAAGAGGCCAGATTTGATTATCTACTGATTACAATATCTTTATTCGATTGCTAAATTTAGAATTTGTGTGAACTTTTATGTGATCGATCAATGACATGTTTTAAATCTAAAAGATGAGCCTGTCACGGATGTATCGTGGAAAACTTGGTGAATGATTACCTTCAATACAGTATCAATACTCGCATCCATTTTGTTGATAATAATGTGACGATACATAATCTCCATGTGATGTTTGTCTCAACGTGACATATCAAATGAAATATCATTTCCCCTGTTTATTTGTGAACAATAAACAAAATAAAATATTAAAATAATTACAGCCAATAAATGGTTGTGTAAGTATTATAGGTAGAATAGTAAACTGGGGAAGGGTAATGTTAGTAATGTGGCTATTAATGTACCATGTAAGGTTGACCTCCACGCGGTTTTTCTGATAACGATCGTGATAAATTTCTGGTGATAAAGTCACGTAGTCACCACCACATGTACCACATACGGGAAGGGATTGGTAGTAATAGAGTATTGTAATGATAGGTCGACCTCCACGCGGTCTCCTCTGAAAACTTTGGTATTTTCTGATAAATTGGTTGCGATGAGCTAACGGGGCTACTCATCTTATCATCCTATACTCGTGCCCCGCAAGCGTAAACCGTTAGCACACCATCAATTAAAAAAAGTAGCGCCTATATGACTAGTAGTACCATTGTTAGTAATGTAAAAGGACATTCTAAAAAGTAATCTCTGTATCCACACAGACGACTTTTTACCTCTATCTCACTTATTTTAGCCAAGTAGGTTGCTTTTTAACCTGTGTTTTACTTGAAGAGGCAGTAAAAATACAAGGTACGGAGTCATGAATTCTCCGGAATGGCATCGTATGAGTGATGCCATGGGCGTCGGTGGTACTGTTTACCGTTATATGAGCTGCCAGCGTGTTTACTATTCCAATAGTGTTTAAAAAATCTAGTAAGAATAATACTTATTTATGTTACTTTTTTATTCATTAACTAGAGGCCTTATGGTATATAAGCGTATACCTACAGAAAATACGATATTTCATCTTTCGAATAATTAATCTCCCAATAAACGTTTCTCAATAGTTTCATTAAAAAAAAAATTAGGCACAATGTTCTCGATAACAGAGGTTTTTATTAATGTTAATGTTAAGCACGGGATAAAGAATTGGCACCTCTCTAATGAGAATTAAACTAAAATACTATAAATGATTAAAAAAAGTTTGATAAGATCTCCTCTAAAATTGTTTTATTCGAAGCACATGAGGGCAAACCTTCAAAACGAATCCAGAAAAATAACAATGATTGCAAATATGCGTGTTTAATTTTGTTTACATAATTCATTCATTCATAACTCTTGTAGGTAGATGGAGCTCTTGCTACTTTCCACGATCTTCTTCAACATGCTCTTTAAATGTTGATACGATACGACTCCATTTAGTCTTTAATTTGCTTGATGTAACTGTACCTTTGTCTTCCTCTTCCCCTCTTTCCTTCTATTTTCCCCTCAATAATAATTTATGTAGGTACATAATACAGTACACAAAAAATATTTTGGTCCAAATGACGTAAACCCGAGAGTCAATTATCCATTTTTAAATAATTATTATATTTAAATGTTGCATCTTATTGTATTCTGGTATAATAGTGCCATTGCGATGTACTCTGAACTTTTCTAAAGTTATCAAGAAATATTTATTTTAGTTGCCATTACTGATTCCTCAAGGAGTAAATAGTATGTTGTTTCACTAGTCATACTCTAAGGTCAAAACTAGTAATTTTCGATGTACCTATGTAGATGTGGTAAGAAAATTTCTGTTGTTGGGTATTGTCTTTCATTTTTGTAATTTGTATTGTAAAAATTCAATTAATGTTGTAATTTTTTTTTATTTAACTTGTTAAAATTTGACTTAAAAGGACTTGTATGCAGAGACGTAAAACATAAAAAAAATATAACATTCGTTCCTGTCATCCACCTATCAAAAGGTATTTTATACTTTTTAATTTGTCTACCATGAATATAATATTGTATCTAAATTAATGGCTCTAAAACGAATCAAACGGGAATTACAAGATATCAGGAGAGATCCTCCATCACATTGCTCAGCAGGACCACGGGGGGATAATCTTTTCCACTGGCATGCCACTATAATGGGTCCAGACGATAGCCCTTATCAAGGAGGCATATTTTTCCTGAACATACATTTACCAAAATCTTACCCATTCGAACCACCCAAAGTCGTATTCAAAACAAGGATATATCATCCAAATATAAATAGTACTGGTATTATTTGCCTTGACATCCTTCGTTCGAAATGGTCTCCGGCGTTAACTATATCCAAAGTGTTGCTGTCAATCTGTTCGCTTCTGTGTGATCCAGACCCAAATGATCCTTTGGAGCCAAACATTGCTAGGATCTACAATACAGACAGAGAAAGGTATAATGAACTAGCTTGCGAGTGGACAAGGAGGTACGGCATGTAGGAATTACTATATGGCTGTAGGACAACCCTATTTCTACTGCCCTGTTACTGCTTCATTATATTTAATATTGTAATTGTAATTAATATTACCAGAGGGTTAATTATGTCGAATTATTATTAATAACTTGTATTCAATAGATTATAATCTACAATTTCGAAATTATATACAGATCATTTCACAGTTGCAATGTTGGAAAATCATACTAATTAGATTGTTCATAGAAAATTTCAACTCCATTGATTGTAATCTGTTGCAATATAGAATTGTTAGTAATAGGGTTACATAATTAAGCCCCAGCTGTTGAATCCTTTGTAATTGATACTAATATTCTAAAAAACAGTATGTTCAAAATGAAACCATCACAGTATAAAAAGAAATGAAAAGCTGTTCATAATTATTATAAAACAATTATTTAGAGTTAAAAATTGCCAAGTCAGATCATATAAATGTAATTTTTTTATTAAAAAAATATTATTTAATGTATTTTTTGTGGTCACATTAGTTATGTAAGTAGCTGTCGGATGAACCAAGTAAAAAACATGATTTTTTTATGCATGCAGTATACAGATCTAATTCAGAAGAACTGGCAAGAAACATATATTTCTTATATAATGAGGTGTTTCTCTCTAACATTAGAATTTAGACTTGTTATTTAAGTAATCGTTTAATGAGTAATAGAATTTCTCAATGAAGAGAATTGAAGAGTATGATTGGATGCGGAACGAAATCCAATGTCGGTGGATCGGAATTGGATTTCAGAGTAGACAAGCAGAAGAAATAGTTCTCTGCTGTTCCAGCAGGCGATGGTACGACTCGGCCGGTGATTGTTAAGTACTATTTCGTTCTTGAAATTTTTACTGCATCCTGAATACATTCAATATTTTACTTTTCTCTTTTATTAATGTTTAATCATTGAACCTAATTACAATTATTGATATGTATTCGGTTTGCCGTACCGCCGAATATTGATGGTATCGTTGTTTCGTCAGCGATGCTCTAGTTGCAACTATTTGGTATAGTTTGTACCGTCAGCGTTTAAGCTATCCGGCATATGTGGTATGAAAATTAATAATCATTATACATTTATGTTAATATTATAAATAAAACAGAAAGCATATAATTGTAAATGGTATGTATGATCATATTTCCTCATACCGCTCCAAACATAAATGGCTTCCAATTCGTCAGTACAGACAGCAACGGTTACTCTGTTCTTTTCATTCTCCTTTATCCCTTTTGGCCTGAATACCTGAAATGCGAATCTCAATATCTTATGACTATAACCTGCTCTCTAAAGATTTCCTCGTCCTGACTATGCATATTTATAAAAGTTTAATGTCTGACTCTTTGATTGTGTAAGCCTCGCCTTTCTGGAGCTCACAGCCTGAAGACATTCATACACTTACATTTCAATCGTCTCTCATACAACTGCAATAATGATCATCAACATCTTAAATAAGATACGTAGTAATTTGACCATAAATTTACTACGATGGTTTCCTGGAGAAACCACATAACGGTCGTCCTGACATGGTACATTGCTAGCAATAAAGTTATTAGTACGCATTACTAACAACCCCCTTCTCCAAATGATGTCATCGTAGCGAATTCATCAGGAAAGGTTTCCATGAAAATCGCGACTAACCGTCCCCCATTCTTTTATTATATGAAGGGTACATTATTCCAGAATGATATAGGTTATAATGTTAATATATACAAAACCCAGAAAGTTATGAGCTCCCGGGCGAACCAGTTCCGGGCCACTATTATAAAATATTTAAACACGCCGATGAATGGGATGGGATATCTTTTGTGGAACATATAAAAATGTAGGTCAGTTTGCAATGAACAATTTATGTAAGAGTTTTTATCAGTAACAATATAACAAATATTTGTATCGCGGTCTGTCGAGATAAGATACCTACCAAAAATCAACACGAAGACATGTTCATGTGACACCTCACATCCTGAATTTGTTACAAGTAGTAATGCACGCAGTAGATAATTGACAACCAAATATAAATAAATAAGCGACTCAAACCGGCTTCGAATGCATTACAAATCTTTAAATTTCGAGTTTCAGGAACTATTTCTGCTTAGTTTAATTTATCTATGTCCATATGATTATCTGTGCTATTATTATAAATTTAAAAGTATAGCTGATTTTCAATATCTTTGTTACCTTTTTACGACTAAACGGATAAACGAATTTTAATGAAAATTGTAAAGACCGATTTGATTGTTGCACGAACCGATTTGATTGAATACGAACATAGAAATCTAAATAGAATCTCATAGAATTCTATTCTAAATAGAAATAATCTTAATTCAAATAAATTAAATATAAGATAAGAAGAGAACTTAATATATGATATAGTTTTTTTTGTTGTATAAAAAAAAACTGTATTACTGACGAAATAGGCATAATGACCGGAAATACTTTTGAGTAGTCACGTTTATTTGATTCTGCCAGTCATTCCGAAAGCAGACTCATCACAAGTAGAATCACCACTACACACCATCAAATGTATTGCTCTTTTAAAAAAATGTTGTTCAGCATTATATATTTAAGATTTTGTATAAATACAAACTGCCAATTAGTACAATTGAAATAAGTAAATACTTAATAACAAAATAAATCATTCATAGCTATCACAACAGACCAGTTTCTACAAGCAGACCCGTTAACGAGATCAGTTTGTGTCGTATTTATAGTGTGTTTTCCGGACTATTCGATGTTGGCTGCAGCTGGTCATTACAGCTTCACTGAACGAAAGAGCGTGAGTGCAAATGGCACTACAAACCCGCGTAAGGACTTATGGAGCAGCTGTAGGCCAAGTCCCGCCTGACGGTTACGACTAGTCTGAGGGCACCGCTAAGAGTTCGAACTTCAGCTTACGACATCTTATTTTCAGTCCCTGTTTGAATTGGACGGAGATTGATCAAAGGAGATGTATTTAAAGTATAGATGAATGCTTTTAACTTCGATCTTGACGATTGTTGTTTAACTTCACTACGACGGTGGTCTAGGCGCGCTGGTAATTTCTAGTAAGTTACCAGCGCGCCTTAATTAAGACGACAATATTTTTTTTAAAGACTTTGCAGTTGTAAGCAACACATTTTCTTGTATTGTGTGACTCGTGTAATGCGATTTGTGTTCACGCCTGCATACCTGTGCACCTAGCAAGAGGTAAATGGCTTACAGTAAACTATTGTGTACTTACTCACACTTACCTACTATTGTTACAGCGATATATTCTGTACTAGAGCCTGAAAAATAGTCAGTTTGGTTTTTTATAGTATTGAAATAGATGAGAATGTACATCAGTACACGCAAACGAGTAAAGTAAAAGTATATAATGATCCAGGACAATTCATAAAACGTCATCTAGTACCAAGCTAAGCAGAACTTGTTTATGGGTACTATACAATTGACAGATTTTTATTTGTAAATACATACATAATATATATAGAAAACATCCAGAATGATACAAATATTCATACTCATGAATATAAATGTTTAATCGATCTAGGAATCGAACCAGCGACCATCGGATGTAAGGCACATCGCATTAACCAATGGTCGCTGGTTAAACCACTAGACTTATTGATTGCCGCAAGTCTACCTACTGTGAAGTCTAATACCTCTTTTTTTACTTTTGCATCCCAATCAATTTATGCATTGTTTTTTTAATGAACTAAGCAATGAAATCCATAATTGTTTTTGGTTTTTTATTGAAAATGTATTCAAGTGTGAAACCACGCAATCTGTTTATAATCTTTAAAAACAATGAAAAGTGTAATCACTAAACATACAATGTCTTTATTTTGTAACTTTAAATATGTACCATTGCCAACCATTACATGCACTTCATAATAAATATGACAATATATATATTTATTCTAAAGTTCTCTTCAAACTCTATATAATATTAATACTTTTTATTTTTGGTCAGTATTTTGGCGCCAAAGTTATTTCACTTATTTAATGTGGACTACAGGCAACAAAACTAAACAGTTATTGGTATTTACATTATTACAATTAACAAATTGATAATAATTATAATATTGAGACAATATTCAAAGTGGGATATTTGACACAATCTAATAATTATGAATCAGAATTTGTTTCTGTACTATATAGCTAAGTAAGTGATGATAATTTGTCGACACACGAGATGTATCACTGAGCTGAACTGAATTACAGTACTACTCCGATTCCACTCTTTCCTCCATGTGTAGACTGCTTTAGTTGCCGATGATTAATCTTCGTTCTTTTATCTACTGTCATTCACACCCAAAAAGTGTTGACATTATGAGCTCATTGGTTTTGTAGAAAATAGATGACATAAATACTTACGCTTTCATTAGATATATATTGTAAAATAAAATAGGTTGACCTAGATCTTTAAAATTTGAGAATAGACAAAAAGTATTAACTCTATGTAACTAACAGTAGTTTATTTAATTATTTTATCTATATTCACGTGAAATTTTCATTAAGACCCGTTCGTTACATCATGGAAAGATAGCAAACAACCGGATAGACAGATGCTTTTTACGTTTTTATAATGAAAACAGCTATTTCTGTCTCCTTTATGCAAGTACAATGGACATCATATATGTATGAAGTATATATATTTTTTGTGAATGAGTAATTGAAAGTAACGGTAGGCCTGTGGTCGAAATAATTATCGACCATAATTAATTTAACATTTAGTAAGACAGATTAATAATATTAAAGGCAAACAATATTAATCTATTTGGCTACAGATAAAGTATATATGCGTGGTTATGTCAAATACATACTGCATAGTGCATATTTTTTTTATAAATATTAGCTTATAGCTATATTACTTTCATCAAAATCCGTTCAGGAGTTTGTACGTGAAAAAGTAACAAATATTCATTCATTCATACTCACAACTCGCGTTTATAATAGGCATTAGTAAGACGGTACTAGCTGACCCACGCAACTTTGTCTGCTTCATATTTACTTGACACTATCATTAAATTTCGCCCAATCTGCATAATATCTTTTGAATATTAGACTAACAAACATCCATCCATTTATCTATAATTTTCGCGTATAAAATATTAATAAGATTAGACCTTTTCGCTTGAAACTTAACCCCACTCCTCCTAGAATAGCTGGCACTTTAAAAAGACAACCCTTGTCAAGAGCTAGTCATGGCTACGTACTACGTCATGCTATCATATTTTATCAATGAAATAAAAAGAATAATAAACCGATACTGCAAACTGTAGCAATAACTAAAAGTTTCCTTGCAAGTTATTCAGTTAACAATGAATTTAGTAGACATAGGATTTTTGTGATTTGGACACGGTGTTTTGGGATGTCATATGTATTAATAAACTATTAATTTTCTTGACTGTGATATGATTATATTTTAGTGAAAAATGTGTTTCAGAAAACAAATATTGTATATGGTAAATATCTTGTCTATACAAATATTATAAATAGTCGAAATACCAGTTTTTATTATATTCTAAAAATACTTAACCATGTTTAAAAATTTCCTCACATAGTTTACTATTTTTGTCGCGGTTAATCAGTATTGTATTACAGCATTACTATAATTATAATCAGTTTAATTGTTACTTATAATAAATACATAAACTGTATGTGAATTAATGGATTTGTTTTTGTATGAGCGTGTGAATAAGAAAGGTTCATGGTAAAAGAGAGTTCTGATTTGGTCTGAAACTTGAAAATTTCGTTTGTGAATTTATACTTATAGTATTCTGGTTGGCTTTTTTTATATAACTGGAACAGTACATACCTTTTTAAAAGTATATTGAGCATTCTTAAGAGTCGCCAACGCGCACATGACATTTCTGGTGTGACAGTACATAGTACATAGGCTACGGTATTCGTCTACCATTAGATGGGTCGTTATAAGTTTGCCACTTACGTGGTTTGAAAAAAAGCAGCACACCTAATATCTCCTCTTTAAACCTAAATACAGCATACAAAGCAACCTGCTTAGTCGAATGGATACAGATATAGAAATTTAATCACCGAAGAATTAAAATAGGCATGTAGAACGAATCGAACTCACGACCATCGGATGTAAATCATATCCCACCGGTTTACTTTAGATTACTTACTTAACATCTAAACCACTGGGGCCATCAAATATATTATTATTTTCTTTGTTACAGATAACACCAATCATGTTAAGGAAAGAATACTGAAAATCTTATTGAACAAAACCATCCAACACATGTAATATTGTCCAATTGATGGTGTGATCCACTTGAAGTGTTTGTTTTATACCACAACTGGAGAAGATGGCATCTTGCGTCGGTGGCAATCACTTTGGGAGCCAGGAGTACGTGCCGGTGGCTGAGTTCTATGCGGATAAGTCAGTTTTTGTCACAGGCGGCACTGGGTTTATGGGAAAGGTATGTATCTAATCAAATTTTATTCATAAAAAGTCGTCTGCGGGTGTACAAACAGTTAGATTTGCCTGCTGTGTTTTGGTTGAGCGGCGGGGCAAATCAGTGAAATTACAGTAGGTATATGAGAGTCTTAATCCATTTTAATGCATACGCACACGATTTGTCATTCCGAATGGGGTACGGAATAGCGGGATGTCCGTAGTGTGTATATGTTTATTTCCTAACCGGATATTGGAACTGTCAAGAAAAGAGCTTATTTCTTATGAAGAGGCCGGCAACGCACTTATCCCTTGGCGTTGCGGGTGCTCATGGGCGGCGGTAATCACTTACTATCAGGTGAACGGCAAGCTCATTTGTCACCTATGCTATAGAAAACATGTGTATTGGCGACAGTTACCACTATCATAGTGATACTTATGATTAGTGGTAACTTGTTTGCTATTCTGATTACATAAGAAATAACCTTTTCACTACGCAACAGTTGAATGGATTTTAATTAAATTTTACGAAAAGATAGATTATGTTTCGAAAACGGACATAGATAGATAGATAGCTTTATTCATCAATTACAAACAAGTAGCATACACGAGATACAGAAAATAAATTGAACAAATTAAAAATGAAGATGAAGAGGTAACCAATCAACTGAGCGTAATCTATAGATAAATCTGCCACACATAAGCAATTTTTTGTCACAATAAAAGCTCTGGATGTTGGTTAATATTGACAGATGGTCAGCTTTCCTTCAAAATTTAACTCGATATTTATCCAAGATTCAGGTTTTAAAGAAAAATACCTTTCAATTATGAAAGTCTTTAAGAGTGAACATTTCTCATTCTTGTAAAATAATTTTGTAAACACATATTTAATATTGTATATGTATATACACTTAGGATCCGGACTAATGAATGAACAAATATTTCTATCATGCCAGAGTCGAACAGAAGTAAAACAATCAGAAGTAAATAAACTATATCAAACCGCTGTTGACTACAGTGGCCATCAAAACAGTATATAACAGTGCCACGATTATAAAAAAAGATACTTATAATGCATTGACTCAGAAATATCAAATTTTGTAACTAGACTTCAAAGGTAAAAATTGGGTTATAGTGATTTTTCTAAATTTTGTAAATTTTCAGTTGATGTAATATTTTGTATCTGTTGTTATTACAGGAAAATAATAATTTCGTGGTATTAACACTAATAATAACACAATGGTTATTTTAGGTTGTTTAAAAGTGTTTGTAAATCAAAATTATCTTATTTATGAATCATAGTTAATGGATGTCTGACGTTGTTAACTCTATCAGTTCATATGCTTCTAAACTTTGATAAAAGTCAATCAGGTTTTTCCAGCAGTTATTTGACTATTTTTTGTCTTTTACGCGATATTTTAGCCAAAACTGAAATGACTGATTTTAATGAGAGAATGAGCAATTTATGTTAGTGCGTTAAATTTGGGGTTTTTTGGTGGTTTAACGGTAACGGCACAGATAACATATCACATAGTAACGGTAACATTGAACGGATTTTGATGAAGCTTTACTGTAAGTATATGTAGCTTATACATCAGAATAACACGTAGGTTATAATTTTTATGCAGGTAAAACCGCATAAATATTTTAAAAAAAATTAAATAATCGATTGTATGTTGTGTTTAATTGTGTAGCCTTAGTACAAGTCTGTTTATATGACTAGAGGACGCTGTATGAGTTGTCTAGAATTATTTATTTAAGCAAATACATGATGATTTTTTTGCCATACAGATATTACAACATATGCGTTATACAAAGAACAACTATAGGTACTAAGTAAAACAACAATTTGATTCTTCCAAAATACAGCGATAAGTTCTATCAACAGAGTAGGTGACTTACGTGGTAGGAATAATATCCGATTGGCATGAGACATTTTCAATATACATATTTATATATTACATATTATACACATACAATGTACATATATATACAATAAATATATTTTATGAAGTATATAGTATATAATAATAAATGCAGAACGCAAACAATATATATGACGTACTTTATCATATATTCACCACAATGACAGGATACTATATATCCTATCGCGACACAACATTGCCTCCACTTTCTAGGGTACACAGATATACTCGATAAAAAAAGACTGCTTACGTGCGAAATAATATACTTACCAAATAATCAAGTCCGTAAATTATATTACCAATACATTTATTTTATACTACGATGATGACAACAAGAGTACAATTTATGTGATGGTAAATGGTTAGGTACCGTAATAGGTTATGGACTCCGAGACACCAGGGGTTTCACATGCTCGATCCCTACCCTAACCGTAACTTTTGTACTTGTTAATATAAAGGCAATGTTGATGATAATGAAACTTGTTATAGGTATTAGTGGAAAAACTTCTAAGGAGCTGCCCGAAGATCAAGAAAATATATTTACTTATGCGGCCGAAACGTGGACAGGATGTCGCCTCGCGGCTCACCGAGCTCACACAATCACCGGTAAGTTCATATCAATTTATAGCTACGGTTATTTAATTACGGCCGAATTAGACTTTGTACAAACAAACAAAAAACAAAGTAAAAGAGGCTCTTACGGATGAAAATAGAATGGTGCACCCGGTTGCGCTAACGGTTTACGCAGGTGGGACACCAGTGGAGTATGATAAGATTAACATGAGGTTAGGTCAGGTCAGTTAGCCCATCGTGGTAAATTCACCATGATTTTATCACTATAGTTTCCAGGGGGAACCACGAGGAGGTCAACCTGACATTGCTAGCAATGGAGTTATTAGTTTTTTAACAACCACTTTACTAACAATCCCCTTTCTCCCAGTAAAAGAAGTAGAGGCAGACCTAGGATGGGGTGGGTAGATGTAATTGATAGAGACATGACGGAGTGCAAAGTCTCTGAAGGCGATGTCTCTGAAGGGATAGAGTAAAGTAGCAGAGAAAAACAAGGAAAGGTGACACCAATACCATATGAGATACATAGCTAGGAAGAAATACAGAGACAAAGTTTGTGTGGTAATGCGTACGGTAGAGCGTGTGCGCCTGAGCGGTGATACGCCTATTGTGTTGCTGCTTGCCAAAAACTTTCTTAACGGTGCTTAAATATTTATGGATAATGGTGGAACGGTGCTGCCATTGTACGAGTATGCTAACGGAGTAAACAGAGCACCATATGCTTAATGGTACAATGAGAGAGCAATCAGACGAGTTAACAAATTACTCGTAAATTCGATAGGAATGAACCGGATGATGAGATCCATGGACATCATTTAAGATTAATCCGATATGCGAGGTTAATATTATTGCTAATAATGAGGCAACTGAGGTCTATTTACTAACAAGTCTCTATTTTCTAACGAAGTAATGAAGAAAACGGCAATAAACTAAAATAGTTTCCATGGGTATCATCTGAGGTTTAACTGATGTGGTCCATTCCTAATAATAAAGGTTATTGTCATAGAACAAGTAATGTATTCGTCATATTGAATGTATGTATATATATTATGTATTGTATGTATGTTGTATATATATGTTATAATATTCGTGTGTATTCTATTCTTGTTTAGTTTTAGTTTAGTCTAATATTTGTATATACGTTATTTATATAATTAATGTAAAGCCACCATCAAGTATTTCTGCACTTCCTGAAGGTTGACTGGTAGAGAATGCCTGTAGCATTAAGTCCGCCTTTTGTACCATAATTTATTGGTCAATAAAGTTTTAAATAAATAAATAAAGCTACCGGGCACCATTTATTAGCAATACTCACCAAAGACGCTATTGATAGTCTAATACATAGTTTAGCACGTCGGCGCAGATGCCGTTTTACTTCCAATGGTCATGGTTTCTTTTTTTATGTACCTAATTATTCGACGGGCCCGGTGGTATAGCGGTTTAGCATACAGCCTTACTTCCAATTGTCGCGGGTTCGATTCCTCGCACGGAATAAACATTTGCATTCATTAGTATAATTGTTTGTATCGGTCTGGGTATTTCTATGTATATGTATGTATTTATAGAAATAAGTATCTTTAGTTGTCTGGTATCCATAACACAAGTTCCGCTTACTTAGAGTTATAGATGATGCTGTGTGAATCGCCCAGGGTTATTATTATTAGTTACAATGGCAATCAAGCTGACGGTCCATCTGATGGTATATGGTAACCTTCGTTTATAAATTAAAAAAAATGTATTTTGTCAGCATTCATATTATATACTATGTTGGAGACTAGATGATGTTTTGTGAATTCTCCTGAGTTATTATTATTATATATTAAACGTGATACAAAAATTTTGTACCATTTTTATGTTATATTGCGCGAAAGGAGGAGTATGAAATTCGATCATTTATAGTTTACTAGCTGTACCCGCGGTGCCTGTGTGTTATTCTGATGTATAAGCTATATTACTGTAAAGTTTCATTAAAATCTGTTCAGTAGTTTTTGCGTGAAAGAGTCACAAACATCCATACTTACAAACTTTCGCATTTATAATATTATTAAGATATAGAGAAGGAGTGCAGAATACAATTTTTTTTTAATTATGCCTAATAAATACATTAAATCCATAAAAATCTGTGAAAGGTTTACACACACTTCCATGTACATATTTGACACACACGCATATACATATATTCTTATGTTTATTGCCTGTCCGACTGCTAATATCTGTGATTATAGAAGTATAGTCTTTAACAATAAAACCTTAATAATGTTCAAGCTTATAATTAAAATTAATTATAGTTGAAATTTTGCCACTAGACCATTGCTAGTTATTATGAAGACAAAAATCTTAATCCCAACCACTTTCCTGCAGTTGTTCGAGACATTGCGGCAAGAACGGCCGCAGGAGCTCAACAAGATTGTACCAATAGTTGGGGACATCACGGAGCCAGAGCTCGGCATCAGCGCAGCAGACCAAGCCATGCTGTGTCAGAAGGTACCGCAGATTCTACTTCTAATACAACCCATGACTTTGTACATATATTATTTATTTCCACAGCACTTAGTGAAAATGGCACCAAATTCAGTTATGCTATTTCTGAGTATTTTTTATTGATGATAATGGAATGGATCACTTGCCTGCGATAACGGTATGCGCTGGCGGGATACCGGTGGATGATAAGATGAGCATGAAATCAGGTCAGTTAGCATCGTGACAAATTTACAACCAACTTGTCACGACGAACCAGGTTATCCAGGGAAACCGCGTGGATGTCAACCTGACATGGTATATTGCTACTTATGTGGTCATTAGACCACATTACTAACAGTCACCTTCCACCCCGTTGCAGAGATTAGCGCACATAAATAGGCACAAATTACTGTACCTATTTGTCATGTTTACTATAGGTTCGTTTTACAATAATTATTGTCAGTCCTTTCCTCTATATGATATTGACTATTATAATAGTCAATATCAAAAAGAGGACTGGTATCTATTATAAAATACATACTCGTATATACCTAGTTTAGGAACCATAAAGTATAATGCACGTATAATTCGAAAAGATCAATTTACCTTATATATTATTCGTCTTCATATAACCAGCATGGTATTAATTCTCGTTTTTTTTTGCAGGTGTCGGTAGTTTTCCATTCGGCAGCCACCGTGAAGTTTGACGAGAAATTGAAGCTTTCCGTTACGATCAATATGTTGGGCACACAACAGCTGGTGCAGCTGTGCCATCGTATGCTGGGATTGGAGGTATTTTTTATTGTTACATTTAATAATTTACAGAAATAGATATAATGTTTATTCAAATAAACTTAAGGATTTTTGAATAGTCATATTTCTTTATTCTACCACATTTTTCTTGCTTTATTCGAATAACATCTTCCGAATAAAAGGATCATAAATTCTGCCCCAAAAAGAAAGAGATGAAACTTCAGTTTTGTTGTTTTTGTTTATTACATTTTTAAGATTTAGTGTAATCACAACTGACAATAAATAGCAAAATTGATAAAAGTAAATAAATGATTACTTGAGTAACAAAATAAATCAGTTCAAATTATCAGAGCAGACCAGTCCCTACATACGTTCAAAATGGAATAGATGAGTCAAACATATTTTACAATTTCATAATATATAGTTATCGTAGGAACTAGCCTAGACTACAAAGAGTTGGTAAACTGATTTTTTAAAATAGTAACGGCAGAGTTATCTCTCATCGCACATGCCGAATTCTACAAAAGAAAACAGTATATGAGAAACAATTTGAATATAAGTCTGTTTAAATAAAAGTAGTTTATACTCAGTGTCCTACAAAACTGTGTACTATTCTTATAACATTTTTCAGAAAACAACTAAAAGTACTTATTGTATGATTTTCTTCAGGCCCTGGTCCACGTGTCTACGGCATATTGCAATTGTGAGAGAGAACGCGTTGAGGAGACAGTGTACGCACCACCGGCCCATCCAGAGCACGTCGTCACACTCGTCCAGACCCTCCCTGATGAATTGGTGGATAGAATCACACCGGATCTAGTTGGTAAGTTTTACCTCAATTTAACTTACTTTGTAGGTTGTATTTCGCATTGAATAGGCTGCTGTGACAGTAAAAATAAAAAGTTCTATAAGGAATACTCATATATTAGAGTTATTATAGACGTCATGCTTACATGGGATACGAGGTGCTGCTTATGTATTTATTGTGGCACAAAACCGTAGTAAAATATACAAGTAATCAAATATATGTCAAATGTTAATCCAAAAGACCAAATATTAAACTTAAGGAAATAATAATAATTATTACATAACTTGTTGACAGTATATAAATCTGTAATGTAAATAAATAAAAAAAGATAAAGTCAAAGTCGAAGTCGACGTCGTACTTATGTAGTTGTATGTGTGAATAAAAGGTCGTGCAGTTGAAAGATGTGAATAACATAATTGGCAATTTAAGTAAAAACTTATTAAATACTAGCTACTTGCCCCGGCTTCGTACGGGTAACATAAACCTTCCTCTTGAAACACTCATATTAAAATAAACTGCTTCAAAATTCGTTGCATAGTTTTAAATATTTAAGCATATCTACATAGGGACGGATAGACAGCAACAGCGACTTTGTTTTATACTATGTAATGATTGACCATTGCTATTTCTATTATATTTTTGACTATTTGTTTAATATAAATACATATAGCAATAAAAGTTAATTATAATAATTGCGCGGAGCACGAAGCGCGGAGCGATCTTAGAGATCAGATTTGTACTCTTTGTAGTATATACCTAATATTACGAATAAAGAATCAAATGAAATATTAATATTGTGTGTATTATTTACAGGTGATAGGCCTAACACATACACGTTTACAAAGGCCCTAGCAGAAGATATGCTTATAAAGGAATGCGGGAATTTACCAGTGGCCATCGTCAGACCTTCCATTGGTGAGTATGAGGTTATGTGTAGAATAGAATAAGGAAATTCTTTATTCAAATAAACTTAAATTTAAGGTTGACAACGCACACGTGACTCCCTGTTGTTTCAGGCGTCCATGGGCTACGGTAACCATTTACCATCTGATGGGCGCTATACATTTTTGCCACCATTGTATTACAAAAACAATAAGCACATTTATTCAAATATGACTATTCAGTCATATTTATTTTTGTCTCTATCACTCTTTCGGAGTTTTGTTACAAACACCCTGACATACGCACCTCGCACGGGTGTACATGTATTATATACATATATATATATATATATATATATAAACCTTCCTCTTGAATCACTCTATCTATTTAAAAAATCCGCACCAAAATCTGTTGCGTTGTTTTATAAATTTAAGCATATATAAGGACGGACAGACAGCGACAGTGACTTTGTTTTATACTATGTAATGACAAGAGATATTATTTTTCTCCATTTCTCCATCATTTAAATTTTGTTTATTCCAAATGTCATATTGGTCCGTCAGATAATTTTCGTGAATAGCGGTTGGTACAATGTTTTTAATTGAATTATAATATTATGATGAACATATTGGATGAAAACAGCTGAGTCAGCCCCCTCTGCCCAGAATATGAACCGTTAGGTATAACTGTTTGTGTTGATTTGTTTACAATATGTACGTAGTTTATTTTTTGGTCTCCTTAAGTAAACAGTGTACGTATGCAAATATGATTGCGGTTTTTCTGGCAATAAATGACTATTATTATCATTACCATGTTTCCGTGTTCAGTAGGTATATATATATATATATCGTTGTACTCGTAAACGGGTACTGCTTGTAGGGCAGCGCTCTCCAACGTTTTATAAATCAAGGCCTAAAAAATTTTTTTCTGTACATAGGGCCGCGCCATACGTATTTTTATAAGGATCTTTTTATTTTATATTAAAGGTACTTTTTATTACTTAATTGTCGTTACTGAGAGTGGGCCTATGCTGTTGGCACATATGTTTAACACATCGGCGAGCCGCGGGTTGAAGACCTTTGTTGTAGGGCCTGGTCTGATCTTTTGTTTTGTTACTCTCAAGTAACTATTTATTTATTTAATCATGTCAACTTTGCTATTTAGCAGTTTGTGTTGTTTTCTGAACAACACTTATTTATAAGAGCGATATGCAAGGTTTCACATTCTTCTTGTGATGAGTACGCGTACTGAATGTGTTAATTTGAATATGGATTATTAATTAACATATTGGTATATTTTTTTTTTATATAATATACTAAATGTGTTAATTTGAATATGGATTATTTATATTTGTGATTTGATTTTACGAGAATATATTGTGTGCCCTCGCTCAGGTTCGCCCAATATTCATCTGGTTATTCAATGATATCATACGATTATTCAAAAGTGTTTATATTAATTTTATTTGAATGAAGATTATTTCTATTATAGTTTATTCGATTAGATTCCATTTTTTGTGGATAAATAAATAAAATGGTATGCTGCGTACTACAGCAAATGCACCCTAGTTCTCGAAAAATGAAGAGATTCATAAGTACCTCAAAGTGCCAACAATTCATGACGAAATGAAGCGTACAACAAGAAGTATACGGACCGACTCTCTAGCCATCCTAATCCAATGGCAACACGAGCTGTGAGACCTTCTCACACAGTCAAGAGACTGAAGAGGAGAATTATACTGTAGAAAGATAGAAGTGAAGCTGACCTCTTCGCCTACAAATCAAGCAGCTCTCGACACATCTGCTTATAGTATTACGACAGATCTCCGATTAAAATAAAAAAAAATAAGGTATTAATTTCAAGTGTATCGTTACAGTGCTCTCGTCAGTTCGAGAGCCGGTCAAAGGATGGGTGGACAACTGGAATGGTCCGAACGGGATCATAGCCGCCGTCGGCAAGGGAGTGTTCCGCACGATGCTGGGCACCGGCACCAGGGTGGCGGACCTGGTGCCAGTTGACACCGTCATCAACTTGATGATTGTTTGCGCGTGGCGGACGCATCTCAGACGGTGAGTCAGTAAAATCATCTGTGAATATTAAGATTTACTTATTTTTACTAGTCTATACATATAAATAAATTGGAGTGTCTGTTTGGAATATTGAAATAATCGTGTTTTACTACATGCATATGAATATAAATACGGTACGTACGGTACATACACCAATTTTTTTTTTTGAAATCATTCCGAACTGACGGTAGATATGACATATCATAAGAGTCTGTATAGACCGACATGAATAAAGATATTTTGAATTTGAATTATTTTATGTATGTATACATACAACTGATAAATGGCATTTTTTGTCTATTGTATGTCAGAAATGACTAATGTGCTGAACTAATTATGTTAAAACATCACTGTAAAACCACATTTAAACAATAAATTTTACTTCATTTCATTTCATACACGTCGATCTCAAATTATGGGATAAAGGCAAGTCAATGATGACTAGTAGTCGCCCAGTGGTTGAAATTAGACCGTAATAAAACATACAAACAATAACAAATATATATATATATATATACATTAATAATAAACAAAAGAGTATATATTCGCGTGTGTTAAATATATGGTAGTATGATTATTATTGTTTTAATATATTTTTATGGATAATTTTAAGAAATTATGGGATAATTTCTTAAAAAACTATTGTAGTATGCGAAATTGGTATTTATAGTTATGGTTAGTAAAAAATAACTTGGATATATACATACATGTTGGTGGTATTTGGATTTGCAGAGGTGAAGGCGTGGTGGTCTACAACTGCTGTACAGGCCAACAGAACCCGATCACGTGGCAGAGCTTCGTCAAAACTAGTTTTAAGTATATGCGGAAACATCCGTTTAGTAAGTACATTTCATACTTTTATTCATCATAAAATGTTTACACTCTGCATATGTACGTCCCATCAATGGACATGGCAGTTTTCTCCTTTTTTCTCCATTATTATCGTTATAAGAATATGTGGCTTTTATATTCGTCCCACCGCTGGGCATAGTGTCTGAAACATAGGCGCCTATAAAACTAGGAGTGTCACGTTTTTTCGGATTTCCATTTTATATTAGACATTGATATCTATATAGGTAAACAATGTAAATAGTGAATATGGTGAATAGATACCTTCTGGGTAAGCGCGCTACATCCTAGATCTTACCATCATTTACCATCAGATGAGGTAAGACCAAGCGCGAACCCATTATTAATAAAAAAAATTACTTGAAAAAAAAAGAAATTCTCAATTGAATCTGTATAGTGATCTGGACTGGAGGGACAAAATATTAATACAAAAAACTTAATACCCATGAGTGGTTAAAATGTCCTACGTGAATGATTTTTGATTTGATTTGATGTGAGACTTGAATGACAATTACAGGTGAAGTGGTGTGGTATCCGGGCGGCGATATCACAAGCAACAGATTGAAGCATAACACATTGTCATTGTTGCAACATCGCGCACCAGCACTTGTAATGGACTTCGCGGCCAGGACCACGGGGAGCAAACCTGTGTTAGTATTTGTTAAACAATAAAGCAATAAGATTTAAGGAATTTAGATTGTGACCGATCCGTCTGATAGATATATCAATAGTATTATGAATAATTTAATTAATTTTTAAAAATTAATTATTAAGACTTTTTATATTATTATTTTATATCCATCTTACTAATATTATAAACGCGAAAGTTTGTGAATATGGATGGATGTTAGGTACTCTTTCACGCGAATACTACTGAACGGATTTTGATGACACTTTACAGTATATGTATATAGCTTATTCATCACATAAGCTATAATTTAAAAAAATATTATTGGCGAAAAATAATGATATATGTTAAGTAAATGTGATGTAAATGAAGTTGCGCGGATCAGTTAGTATAGATATAAAACATATCTGTTACGTAGTAAGAATTTGAAGGGTGAGATATAATATCGAAATCATAGGGTACGAATATATCGCACACCTAGTACCTATAATACTAAATTACTTAAAAATTAAAATTGAAATTAGACTATAGTACTAAAATTTTAGAGTGTATTTTGCAAAGTTTTTGAATTAATCGATTATTTAGAACATATTCTCTAGAGCGATTATTATATTGGTAAATTTTAGGATGATGCGCGTGCAGAACAAGTTAGCTAAGGCTGCGGCTTGCCTCGAGTATTTCACTACTCGCCAATGGGCCTTCGCCGACGACAACGTGCAGGCTCTCTGCGCGGCGCTCTCCGTTGAAGATCGCAGGATCTTCGATTTCAACGTCAGGAACATCGACTGGGACGCGTATATTGAGTCATACGTGTTGGGAATTAGGAGGTTCCTTTTCAAGGAGAGTCCGGAAACGCTGCCGAAATCAAGAGCTCTTATGAGAAGGTAAGTTTAAGTAAAAATACAAAATCATTAATGACATTACAGGCTAGGTGGTCTAGTGGTTTAGCATATCGCTTTACTATCCGATGGTCGCGGGTTCGATTCCTCGCACGGTACAAATATTTGTATTCATGAGTATAATCTATAATATGTATTTATTTACAAAAAAAAAAATGGAGCCATGTATTTATTTCAGTTGTTTAGTATCCATAACACAAGCATTAGCTTGGGACTAGATGGCGTTGTGTGAATTGTCCTCTGATATTATTATTATTAATGGGTGTTCATGAGATGGTCCACTCGCCTGTGGTTACAGTCAATACTGTCGGCTTGCCAATGGATAATAACGGTATAAGTAAGAAGTTAGGTCAGTCACTCCGTCGTGGTGAATTCACCGGGAGCTAGACTTGACGTGGTACATGACTGGCAATGGGGCCAATTCAAAACAGGGAGGGGACGCTCCCTAATGTGATATTTTCTGACCTGGTTTGTACAATAGTCAGTTTATCTTTACATGAATTAGAACTCGAGTTCGACTATTGGTCGATCCAATTTGAGAACTATAGGAAAACTCTGAAACTATAAAGATCTTGAATTGTAAAAGCATTCTATTTTTCTCACTAGAGCAATGATTACTCTGGTGGGATAGATAGATACTTACGAATCTAGTCAGAATATATTTTTTTTTAGAATTTTTTTTGACTGAACTTTTGATTTACCTCATTTAGTTCAATGTATTTCTTTTGAATATAATATACTTTGTTTATTACTTTCAGATTACATATAGTCCACATCCTAACTCAAGTGGCCACTGTGTTCTTTCTTTGGAGATTTCTGTTCGCGCCATCCAACGCATTACGTTCTATATGGCGACGCATACTAGAGTTTATAACTCGTGCAATCCGCCTTTTAGCCATCGCCTGATGCCGCGCAATCGATCCAATAGCGCCACTTTCAATCAGTTAGAAACGCTTTTGCAGAAAATTGACGTTTCGTTGACATTTGTTACAAAATGGCGGACGCCACATGTCAAATCTGACACCAATAGTTAAGATCACAACGGCAAATAAATATGTTAGGAATATTTTCTCTTCAATATTTATTAAGCTTCAGGAGCTGTTGTATTTTGCTTCCTTCATAATCATGTGTGATATGAATACAGATACACAATTGTATTAGAAGTATAAAGTTAATTGATTCATTATAAATAATGAATGATAGCATTTCTAACATAACTCGTTAACTTAATATTTAGTGTTATGCATGGAATATTAAAATTACATGACAAATTATGGAGTCTATATCTGAATTAAATTACTTAAATTGAAAAAGATCGTGGAAATAACAATTTTGTTGTGACCTAATTCTAAGTAATATTGTGTTACATTTACATCGTGTAATTTGTAATGAACATTTTCAATTGTATTGTATCACACATGATTATACCTGTATTTTCAATTCCCAAGAGCTAGGCAATATATTTGTTACAAATGATTGTAAGTAATTTATAATTCCAAATGATTTCGTACTTTGAACAGCTTAATGGTCAAGTTCAAACTGTTTTTGTACAATATTATTTGGAAATTGTACAACAATGTTTATTAGGTTGATTATATTTATATATATATGATTCACTGTACGCTTCCTTGCAAGTAGCTTACTTAATCATTCACTTTTTAAACGGAATATCTTTAAATATTCAACGCATTGAATTTTCTAAATTTTATTTTGTAATATTGATAATTGTTATATGCCTAAAAACCGATATACTGATGTTATGATGCTGTTTATAGTATAAGACATAAGGAGCGTACAGTATGTTTCGTGTATTTAATGGAAATGCTTCTGGCCTCCCAAATCATGCAAATTCGAATTAGGATAATGTTCAAATTACTGCTAAGCCATTGAAAATAAACATATTTTCGAAGCCTTATTTCTAATGACATTAATTTTTGAATTGAAAATAGATTTGGAAGCTCAAATACCCGAATATACTAGTCAGGGATTATTCCATACTTAATCTATCCATAATATAGGTACCCATGTAAAATATAGTCCCAAATACAATTGTTAAAGAAACGGTTATTAGCAAAATTATTTTAAATAAAATAATAACTATAATTAATGAAATATAGAATGGAGTGGCGGTTTGTTAGTGGCTAGGTTTGTAGTTTTACTCGATTTTGTCCCGTTAAAGTTTAATATAAAGATGTAGGTGCGCATAATGACAAATGCAACGCTCTGATCTAGACACGAGGAATACAAAATAGATTTAACTGCAACTCATTGTGTTCTCGTAAAAGTAAAAAATAACATAACAGATGTAATTTGTATAATAAAGCTCAAAAGGGAATTAATCAGTTATATTAATAAAAATATATCTTATAAAATAAATAGATTGTTGGAGTATAATTAATTTAATAAAACAGATTTACTGCTTTGTCAGATCGAATTCGTGATTTAAATCGTCAAAGTAGTAAAAATCGTTTTATACTGTATTTATAATCCCTTTAATTTATTTCTGCTGTGAATGCATTTGAAATAATTGTTTTTAACATCGAATTGTTACGATAACATTTTTTTTGTAACGAAGCTCAATTTCTAACTAAATCTTCCTTAGGTCTTGTCTTTTCGTCAGCTATTTTGAATAGCTGCTATTATTAATCGGATCACTAAAGTTGTCGAAGACAATCATTTCCAAGTTACTAGTATGCGACACAAATTTTTCCTAGTAGTTTACGATACATTTCATGAATGTTCACGAGAGCAGATTTGAAGATTGGATTTTTACAAGTTTGAGTAGTGTCATTTGATATTAAAATTTGTTGTCTGTATATAATCTTTAAAATAATATATAAACTTATATATTTATTTGGATTAGTGAATTCATTTGGCGTATATATTTATACATAATTTATATACTTTAATGTAGCAGCTGGTTTGCTTATATAGATGACGTTGTTGTCATTAAAACAATTTTGTATTCTAATTTTTTGCTAAGAAATTGTGATGTTTTCTAAAATGTAATCACCGGTTGCAAGTATATTTATTGTAAAATTATTAATTTAATGTTATCGATTATATTTTATAAAAACTTAATACATATATACCCTATTTTAAAGTCTTAATTTTATATTAGCTTGTCAAGCATCGCTCTCTCATTTTTGGCAGATTTCTCCTTGTTTCATTCTACACACTGGTCCAGTGCCGAATGTTATTATCAGTCGCTAGAAAATGTAAGAAATGTAGGTTAGGTTACAATTAATCAAAAGCTTATATAACAATGCAGAGCGTTTGCACCGATGTATGATTACAATTATTTATTACCAACATTCAACGAAAAAGCGTATGGGTGTTCAAAATTAGAGTAAAGAGAAGTTCAATATCTTAGAAAAAAGAGGTACGCATGGTAATAACATCATTAAACGTCTTTCTCTATTACTTGATAAGGAATCACATACAAATTTCCAAAATATACGCTTCCCTAGAATAAATATATCTTTATTTAAGTTATGTTATTGAATTTATTTAAATTTGTGATATTTTTGGCTACTTTTGCGATGTAATGAATTGAACTATGAATTCATTAATTATGAAAGATACAGTATGACATTCGTAATTGAACAGCATTGCTTTGAAGATTGAAAGGAAAGACATTATGACAAATACAAAATCCTGTCTGATGTCCGTTTCGTATTAAGAAATTGATTTAATTGTAACCGACATGAAATTTTATTGTAGTCTTTAAGAGTTCATAATGCAATTCATTAGGCATAATAATAAAATTAATAATTAATTAGGAATATTGAAGTGCCGAAATATTGTTGTTTCTAGTTTTGTGTGGCTCGCCTTTCACATATTCTCTGATGTCTACCAAATTACTTAACGATTATTATCCTACAATACGTAAGTTTTACTTGTTAAGTAATGCCTAAGTTTATACAATGTGTTATTTAAGTGTTAGCATTTCTCTTAATATTTAAGTCTAATGCAGGCTTTTGCTCTTCAGTCTTGGTATATGAACAGAGGGATTTAGCAAAGTTGGACGTGACTTAAATATCTTAGTCTTGCGTATTTTTTGGTTTTGATTTAATTTTTAAATATAAAACTGTTGCATATATATTGTAAAATGGATACCTACTCACCATTATTGCAATTAACGGTACTACATCACTACCGCCATAGACAATCCCCATCGATAAAGGTTGTGGGAATAATGTAAATTTGTTATGTAGTATTTACTGTATTTATAAGTAGTGTTTCTTTTTTTATATTATAGTAGATTTGGGCCAATTTCCTAAATAGTAAAATTATGGTTTTGATGTACGTAATGGTGAAATAGAAAAATTAATATAGGATTTAGATTCAATATGTAATTCCCGTTGTGCCCATAGCTCTTGTAAAAAGAGATTATGGGATGTATAGAGAATTGAAACAAATTTCATAAATTATACATATGTATAATAAAATCGTACACCAGCTTGTCTGTACATTAAATGTTATAACAAATAAATTTGTCCACGTTGTATTTATATTACTGAGATACTAAATGTATTTAGAATTCTTTAATTTTATACATACATTCGATCAATTTTAACAGGCTTCCATAATATTTAGTATATGTTCCGTTCCACTATTCTAGAAACGAGGCGTACGAAGTCACGGGCATAGCTTGTATTTAACATAATGGGTCTTTCTTACTTGTAAGTATATTTATTAGTTAGCTTAGAAACAATTTCAGCCGAGTTCAGCCTGTTGTATAGAACGCGGTGTACAGGAAATGGCCATATGATACAATAGTGTATTTCTTACTCGTTATTTAGGAGTCGACAATTTTATTCCGCTAATTGCATTGTCCAACTTTGAAAATCCGTACTGTTTGACTTAGTTTAGTTTTGTTACGGGATAGAATGGTTTTTATAGACATTGAATTGTTCTGGATGGATGGTTTTTAGTACCTTAGTAGATACTAAAAAAATGATGTATCTAGGTTAGATACTAAAAAAACGATGTATCTAGGTACCTACTTTGCTGCCTAATAAGTCTAATATATTAGCATTTACCAATTTGATATTTGCGCTAACCACTGTAAGATAATTTTAGATAATACTTCTTGTAACTTACAGGCAAGTGACGTACTGTATATTGCAAGCAATATCTATGTTAACAAAGTAAAGGAGTAAGTATGTATTGCAGCGTATCAGATTGGTGTATGATAAAATATATGCAATCGAAATACTGTGCTTTAATGGATATTGGGTTCTTCTCCATCCTAATTACTATCAAATTTCGTATTTATAATACAAATATAATAAATGCGAATGTATGTCAACTTGTTCATTGCTTTTCACGACTATAGGGTTGTATGGAACTAAATGAAATATTTATGACTAGACTGATCGAAGATTATATAAGTGGTATATACACTTCAATGCACACAACTCAAAAGATAGAACAGTACATTTGACGGACTTAACACCATGCGGCATTTTCTACTACTTAACCATAGGTGGTGCAGAGTATAATTGTTGGCGGTGCAAATATAAATATAAATAATATAATAAATACAACATGTAACCTAAGGTATACAATAATATATTACATAAAATTCGTCCAGAACAATTCAAGACACGAAGCTAAATAAAATTATGTCGACCTCTAAACGTGAAAATTAATTTCTTGCTTGTAAGTATATAATTCTGTATATGTACATTTTGAACAGAAACGAGTCTTGATGTTATTTTAGTGAGCTTGTAAAGATTTTGCGTTCGTGAATGCTTTTCTATTGAAGATATTGTTTGGTGGTAACGAGACATTTATATTATTGTGTATATAGAATTTAGTTATCCAAAGTTAAATCCAAATACATTGATGCGAATATTTTAAATTGTTTTCACTGTAACATGGATAGGTGTTTGGAGTGGTGAGATTCGAAGCGGTTTTCGAACGAACAAGAGATAGCGCATAGACATTGTTCAATCTAGGTTATGACTTTATTATATACGAATCATGAATAATCGTAAACAAGTACAAATCTATGTAGTAAATATCACGCTAGATCCCCGTGGGGAATTATATTAATAATATTTGTGCCAGCCGTAGTTTTAAAGTTAAGCTTATGGGAGTGTAGAGGTACCAACTAAATATCTCATATGAGGCTTTAGTGGAAAAAGTGTCCAGTTGTAAGAAAATGACAGTTTTAAATTCTTAGAGTATGCCGCTAGAGTAGCAAGAGAGAATGTTAATGTCATAAATACCATAATTTTAGCAGTTACTCGACTTATTATTTACGAGTATCTTAAATAATATTTTTATAATCTTTATTTCTCTATTTACTTTTATAACAAAAATTATGACGATATTCGAATCGTACTTATACTAAATAAAAATAATTTAAAATGTTAAATACAGTACAATAGTTTAGCCGCGTCTTAAATTTTACGTACCTATACAACTTCCTCATCCGTTAAAACTTTTAAATACTTTTTCAGGCGCTTGTTTGTATTGGGATTATATCAATGTAAATTTACTATTTAAAGTGTAATTAAACAGTTAATAAGTTTAACAGTTCAAAAAGAGGAAATCTTGCTTTCTTATAAGTACTTCTCTAATCTACTCTAGTATTATTGGTGATCCCTTTAAAATGTACAGTGATCTTCTACAGTTGGATATTAATTTAACGCCTCTTGGCGGACACTTTCTCTTACACAGAGACTACTCTTTAAAAAAGTAATAATTAGTTGTTGTTGGGCTGTCCTTGTCTCTACACTCCATAGATAAACTAAAATGGCGCCGGCCGCTCGTTCTAAAACCGTGGGTATAATGCTTTAACATATTTTTTTTTGCGTAGCTGCGAACGGTTTATTATTATGGTATTGAAATCCGTAAAACTCGATGGAATGTTAAAATATTTAGAGATGGTTGACAAAATATGCTCAAAGTTTGTAGCCCCCGTCTCTATTCAGCTGGTTCTGATATATCTGAGTTATTAACTTATCTTTTCATTTGTCTTTCTATCCAAATGTACTAATGTAGAAGTCTTTTGAATGTATTAATATGGAATGATGCACCGTCCTATGCTAACGGTATACGCTGGCAGTGCACCAGTGGAGCATAGTGTGAAGATTTAGCTAAATTAGTCGAAGTCTTTTGACGTGAATTTACCTCGAATAACTACGATGACTTCCAGGGAAGGTTTGAAGGTTGATCTGATGAATTGAAAAAAGAAAGTTATAACTATTCTATTTGCAAGTTTTTTCATATTAATTTCAAAATTGAAAATCACTTTGTTTTATTAAAAATTATCACTAATTTTCGTTCTAGTGATAATTTTTAATAAAACAAAGTGATTTTCAATTCAAATATATTTCATTCACGTAAAAAGTTAGAAATAATTGTCATTAAAAATTACTTAAACTCTTTTAATTAATAAATAGTGGATTTCGGGATTCTAAATATCAATATTTATTTAATGCTTTAAAATTATCTTCACATGTTGTGTCGATCGCGATTGTTTCACATGACTTGGCTCAAATTACATTCCGAACTGACGGTAGACTTGATTTAACGTAAGTCTTTGTAATAGATATACACGAATAACGATATTTGTATTAGATTAGATTTGATCTTGTCACTACATAAAGAAAATAGTGTTTAAATTTAATATCGATGTAAAATAATGATTTTGAAAGTTACATCCTAAATTTAAGTAGAAATACTTTATTTTTATTACAACCATGTTCATGAGAAATTGACTTGTGAATTAACGTCATTTAAATGTATGAACGTGTAGTAATGAAACTATGAGTGTTATAACATAGTACCAGCTGGATTGAGGAGGGGATGGTTTGCAGGCAGCCAACGTGTCTGGTGATAGTTCGGTATATACATGGGGGTTAATTTATTATTCCATATATTAAAATAAAAAAGATGTAAAGTTTCAGCTGTTTTATTGAAGTTGTGACGTAGTTCCCTACCTACTAAGACCACAATAGTTGTAAGATCGTATCTGGCCTATGAATGATATAAAAAACACTGCTCAATATATTTATGTTACTGGTCAATTATCCAGTAATGAAAAATACAGAAGTAGACTTTGTAAAATTCACGATACCTCAGTATCAATTATTTTAGCCGCCAAGCAGCTAGTTTTATAAGCTGTTTGGATAAACAGTGAAATAAGGTAATGAAATAAAGAAGTTGTTGTATGAGACGATCATGGCCGTCATATGGCCATAGTGCAGTTCATGTATATAGGCAGAAGTTACCGCTTACCATCAGGGGGGGTGTCATTGCTTTCTACATTGCCATTGCTGATAATAAATATAAGGGTTAATATAAATATATAAAGTTAAGTTATATCTATAATAATATTCTTGTTTAGTCCGTGATCACTCCGCCGGTGGGCACCTGCTCTTTTTTGGTACTTTTCTCACATTTATTATCGTCGAATCTGTAAATGTAAACTGACGATAAGAATATTTTTACAAATATCTAAACTACTACATTAATCATAATTTTCTTAAAAATACCAACTCTAAAAACAAAAATATATGGTTGGTACCATATATTTTTGTCTGGAAATATACTCTTAAATTCAGGCCAAAAGGACCAGCCAATATTTTTAAGGTTATAAGAGATTCTTAGTAATGATTTCTACTGGTCCCATATCTTTATTTTCTTTAATCGATGATAATGGAATGGAATCATCCAGCAGCGTTAAGTGGGGGATGTTAGGATGAGAAAGAGGGTAGGTCAATTTCCCCATCGTGATTAACCAGGAACGAATCAAGAAGGTTTCCAGGGAGAACCGCGTTGAGGTCAAATTGACATTCCTAGCAATGGGGACATTTTCTATATTGGAATTTATATAACTTGATTGCTTACTTCTCAAGTGGTGGGCACAAGAAATGCCTAATATTCCTGGGCATGAATACATCCGCTTGTACTTTGCAAACGTCGAGAGCGTAATCCACCAATTCTTTGACGATTTCCTCTTCCACTGGTTCACCTATACCAGGCACTGCGTAAACTACTGTTATCTGAAACATATCATCTATTTGACATTTGAGGAGATGCTGTGATTGGACAGTTTTTTTCTTTTCTTTTTATATGATAATGGAATGTTGCACCCGCCTGCGCTAACGGTTTACGCTGGCGGGGCACCAGTGGAGGATGATGATGAGGTCAGGTCAGTTAGCCCATCACCATGGTGATAAATTCACCTCGAATTAATCACCATGGTTTCCAGGGGGAACCGTGTGGAGGTCAACCTGACATGGTACATTGCTAGCAATGGGGTCGAGAGTCCACATTGCTAACAATCCCTTTCCCCCTGATTGAACAGTTCTAATATTGAGGTCAGTAAAGAGTATCGTATCTTTGAAGTTATCCAAATTACATAGTGAGTTTAGCAGATTCGGAGTTTAAGCTATACAAACATTGTAACGAGAGATTTTTACATACGATATCTTATTTACTACCCATTTTTAGTTAGTTTTGAAATTACGAAAATAGGTAAATAAAATTTAAATACACATCATTATTTTAAATTATCTTACTTCTGGAATAGGTTGTTCCTCTTCTTCGACCTCTTCCACTTCCGGCACAATGACATCCATGTTCTCATTAATAAAAGTTTCTAAAATATCACGGACCATTGCCACTTCTTCCGGTTTAGCCTGTAAACCGTGGAAATATCTTAATTTACGAAAACATAGAATAGAATAGAATAGAAAATCATTTATTCAAATAAACTTAATTTAAGCACTTTTGAATAGTCATAACAATTTGTTTTTTATCTACCACTCGTTATAAGCTGTCTCATCACAAGAAGAACGAGCAAGAAACTTGTGTGTTGCTCTTTTAAATAATCCTTGTAAGTTTACATTTACAAGTCGAAACGTGTGAATACAAACTACCAACAAGCACTAATTTTTGGGTCAAATATAAATATGCAATAAGATTAAATCAATCGTAGTGATAAGAGCAGACCAGTCCCTACAAGCAGCACTCGTTTCACGAGTATGACGGATGAGCCAGCCATCACTGTGCTCGACCATATTTTAGGGAGCCCAATGACCCGGCCCACCACGCCGCCACATGTCTGGACATTTTAGTGAGCATGACTACTCATTCCACACGACCACGTCACAGCTACACAAATTACTATATGGTAGTTACAGTATTCGCACTTTACATACGGATGCATGCTCAATTAAAATTGATCACATATCAAGAAAGCAGTTTTAAATTATAACGTTATCCGCAAATAAACTTATTCTTGCTATATATTGCTATCATCTATAAATTCATCTATTTTATAATAGGCTTTTTTACATAACATATGTTTAATATAAGATTTGAATTGCCTCTCTGTAAGATTTCTAGCGTAGACTCTGGCAGTTTATTATAGAATCTTACGCAATTACCATAAAATGAATTACTAACCGACATTTAGGTAAAATTAGCCGTAAGTTTCTACTTGTACAGTCTTTAAGTTTGAAACTATCTAAATTTTTCCTTGTATACATAATATTTTCATAAATGTACTGTGAGGCAACGGTGATATTTGATTGTTTAAAGCATTGACGTATGTCTCTAGAACCCATACCATAAATAGAACGTATTTCTCTTTTGTAAAATAAATATAGTTATATATATTTGACATAATGATCAAAATATACAAGTTTTGCGTCGCCATTTTAATTGCCTTATCCTTCAATCTAAGCAGCAGAACTATTTGGCTAATTTTGAAATATGGGGCATTCATCATTTATCCTGTATCATTAACAAAATTTACTATTTCTGCGTATTTACTTGTTTTACATTAGGAAGCGTGAATTTAATACACTTAGTTTTGTTGGAGTTCAATAATAGATTATTACATGTGAACCAATTTAATATAGTAATTTGTAATCTTGTCAAACAGAAAGAATGAGCCCAATTTATAGTATACTAGCTTTTGACCGCGGCTTCGCTCGCGTTATTTTATTCCCTTAGGGGTGGAATTTATCAAAATCCTTTCTTAGGGAATGTCTACGTCATAGTAGCTTTATGCACGCAAAGTCTCAGCCCGATTGGTTTAAAATTGACAAAGTTTCTTATAAACTTTCTTCCTCTATTTTATCCCTACGTCATAACATCTACCTGCATGCCAAAATTCAGCCCGATCCGTCCAGTGGTTTGGGCTGTGCGTTGATAGATCACTATGTCAGTCACCTTTGAGTTATATATATTTAGATTATCGAAATTTTATATTTCAATCTATATTTACTTTTTATCATTCATCATTTTCCATAAATTAATTCTCATAGAGATTATATCCTTATGTATAGGTACATAACGCATTCCTGTAATTTCAGTGACATAAAAATGATTTATTTATAAAGTCTAAACTATCATTGTTCATCATTGTAGGCTAGTGTTGTATTACTAGATAGAATACATTACGATAATATAGCATATAACATACAATGTAGTACTTGAGAATTCACATAACATATTCGTATTATGTAAGAATAGAGGAGTTTTTTCTGCTTAATCCTGGTGATCAAAGATCCTGCCTAATAAACGATCTAGTTATATAGCAGTAAATGTAGGTCCTGTATAATTAAAGGCAAGAGGTACCTTCTTTTTCTTTAAATCTGGATCAGGCAGTATAGCGATCTGGAGATCAACATGCGACATGATCTCCTTCTCGATATGTTCAACGATGAATTCACCGCTAGTGGTCGACATCTGGCGCCCTGCCACCGTACCTAAAAACAATGATCACAATTTCCTTAACTTACATTACCGCCCCATTGCTTTTCCGTAGTTTACTAAAATGTAACTACTTTATTAGTAAAAAGAAAAAACAATCCTAAGATTAAATGAGAGCTTCAGGCATGTTTCATTTCAGAACAAGCAGTCTTTTCCAGTTCCGAGAGAGTCAGAAAAGTGCCTTGTTTTGTTATTCATTATAGGTAGATTTCAAAATTTGTGGCATTAATTCCTTTGAATGCATTAAGTACGGTGTACTATTGTAATTAAGGAAGCCTGGACAATCCATCTATTAGCTAAGCAAAGCTTATATTATGGGTACTAGACAACTGATAGATACATTTAAATACATTTTTTGTAAATATATAGACAATATAGGTCCATAGATGAAAACCAAATCAATACGAATCCAAGGAATTATACTAATAATTACAAATATTTATATCGTACGAGGAATTGAACCAATGGCTAATAGAATTAAGGCGGTGTACCGGTAGAACAGCGAAGGTGTAAATAATATATAATTAGTAGAAACAAAACGACGTAGAAAATGAATGTCACTTTTCTAACCAAGATCATAGTTAGCCGACTTGAATCTATCAACTATAGCTGCAATATTATCAAAAGTACGTTCTAGATCTTCAAGACGTTCTTCTCGCTGGTTGTAGGCCTGCAGTAGAAAGGAATAAATCAGGGATTGTTAAATGGTTAGAAGGATATTAATGATAGAAATAAATATAATGACAAAAAGAAATACTTATACATGACAAATAATTTATTTATTAAGAGTATAAATGCTGTTTGGAATTTTAGATATATTTTGGATGACAGATGGTTGCAAAATATGCTCACATTCATTCTACAGTAAAACTAGCCAAATAATGATAATTTATAGTGATAGTTGCACTAAAGATCCATCTAAAATATTATATTCATTATGTAGTTACTTCCTCTACATATAGAGCTATCTTCTTCCGCATTTCAACTTCTTTCTCCTGTTTTTCTTTATCTTCTATAATTAGCAAGTTATCAGCAGTAGGTTCTACCATTTCTTCTGTTACATCTTCTACTTCTAATGGCTCACCTGTTTTTAGTGTATTTAAAATATTGTTTACTATTAATTAAATTCCCGTTTATACAGGTTTTTCATTCCAGGTCTTTATGGGAACCGTATTTAGATATCTCAGGTCGAGTTATTGTATTTAACTTAATTTAATACTAATAATTCTAGATCTACTTCACTACCTTATCCACTCTACTATTATAAAGAAAAAAATGTAACCATAAAATTCTGGTGGTAATAGATTATCATCTTCATCGTATACCAAAATATCCACATCCTCTTTTTTCTTCTCAACTAGTAACTCTTCTTTGGATTTGGGGGTATCTAATTTAAAACATACATATGTTTAAACATAGGTTTAAAAATAAACTAAGTTGAATGTCAGCGACTATATTATTTATTTTATTATACCTTACTCGCTTCGATAGAATGGAAATGTTATAAATTACTTTAATGTGAACTGTTTCGAAAGCTTTAAACTATTGTTGTTCTAAAACTCAACTGTATTTTTATAAAGAAGTATTTTACGCATTAATTACGCAGTGTCTTAGGTTACAGATGGTAGCGTATCTGTAGATATCACTATTTATATATATATATTTCAAAATTACTACAATTCTGAATTGCTTATTTCAAGTTTTAGTAAGTATTATCACAATTATTTCAACATCTATGTGTTCCACTAACCATGAGTTTGAATATTTTGTGTAGATAATTTTGCAGCACTCAACTGTTTTAATATTTGCTGTAAAATAGAATTGCTTTTGTGAAAATTAAATTAGTCTTTTCAGTTACAGCACAATAGAGAGTTAACTAACATCAACTTCTTCATTTGCAACCGCTCTACCTGAAAACAAATAGTCATTCCAATATCTTATTAATTATTATTATAATTATTTGAATTAATTTTTTCGATATCTTATACCTATTTATAAAACTGTTTGTTAGAACCTGATCGCAGAATAGGCTGTTAACGTTGCATTCACGTCTTTCTCGAATATAATCGTTTAGAAAATAATGTTAAATAATAGGTCAACCTTTGCGTTCTTTCAAGTAATTTTCTCTCTCAATCTGACTGGCTCTTTCTATAGAAGGCGATCGTTCAATCTTGCCAACAACTGGCATGTTTAGTTTTACACTGAGCCTTGTTGAGCGGGCTACATGATCGTTTATCAGTGTTAATTTCTGCAAATCTCTAGTGTCTTGCCAGTAATCGTCCGATAGACTCTGAAAGAGTACTTATTAGGTGACATATTATTGAAATCCAGTATTCACCATAGATTTGACAAACATTAGAGCTCTATATTAGAGCTATGCTACTTTAATTTACGGGAACCAAATTGAATATAATTTTGGGATAATGAAATATATGTTGTAATTATATAATTACAATTAAAATAATATTTGAATGTCGTTTTGTACTTCTTATCATTGTTTTTCACAGCTCCCAATAAAGTTATACCACAAATCTTGAAGAAACTTCCTTCACTTTACAATAATGCACTTAACTGATTATAAATTAAAGTTCAATATAGTTTATAATTGATGTTGGTATTAGTTTCACTCACATCATCTTCTTCATCCACAGAAGGCTCTGTTTGTTCTTCTTCAACATACGATTCAATAATAGGAGCTTCGCCTAAATGATTAATAAAATAAATGTGGATAATTTAAAGGTTAATCGAAAAAAACGAGTGCTTAAGTAAATAACAAATATAATATTAGATTTTTTGAAAAAATACATGATCGATTAAAATAAAAAGAAAATACCGAAGCGGACTAAAATGCCGTCATCATGATTAACTAAGTCTCACTGATTACCCCCGGTTTTTTTTCTTACTACTCCAATGCTGTTGGCCGCAGCTAGCCTTTACAGTTTCACCGGATGATAGGGGCTGAATGCAGATGGCATTCCAAATCCGCGGAAGGACTTATGGAGCGGCTGAAGGCCAACTCTCTCCTGACGGATACGACGAGTTTGAAGGCACCGCTATGGGCTCAAACCTTGTCTTAATTTCGATCTCCGATTGAATCGGTTTGATCAACCGCCGCTAAACGGTTTGGTTATAAGGTCAGAAAAGGAATTGACATTACCGGATAAGAGGCATTGCATCTTAGTTCTCCAAAATAGCAATTAATGATCGGTGTTAAGGGCCTCAATTGATAACGACTGAGTGCTGTTCGTGTATATAGGCGACAGTTAGCACATATCTTCAGGTGGACTAGCAGCTTGTTTACCATTCCAATTAAAAAAATATTTTATCTATGGAAATATATACTATTAGCTGTGCCGGTGTTTTTGGATAGTGTGGAATTTATAGCGTATGTATTATTCTGATGTTGTTGGCAACCGACCGCCGAAATCCTTTGATATTATTATTATTTTTAAATTTATATTTTTATAACAATTATTTTTTATATATCATTATTTGATATACTTCACTTTATTATTCACTCATTGTCTTTTTTAATAGTTCGCAACTGTATTCCAATATATTATATTATATTCGTGTTTTCATCATTTAGACATCCATACAATCCACCGATCCATTACAGATGTATAAGTTATATTATTGTAAAGTTCCATTAAAATCGGTGGTTTTTGCGTAAAAGAGTAACAAACATTCATCCATCCATCCACACTCACAAACAGGCACAAATTTGTATATAATGTATATAATATATGTAAGATTACCAATTAACAACCCTATTTTTTACATTTGTAGAGCCAGGCAACCCTGTTTTTTACATGTTCGTACAGTATTTTCAATAGTCTATGATAAGTTTAATTTTTTACCTTCCTTGTATCCATTGTAGTACTTCACGTCTTTGGAAGCGTCTATTTTGGCGAGGAACTTGTACATGGCGAGGAAGTCATTTATGGGGATTGCCGCTGATCCACCATCTGGCTCTTTGGTGAGGGTCTCGCATAGCAGGATCATGGTGTGGGTTAGAGTCTGGAATAGAGTATTGTAATTATATTCATGTCACAGATAAGATTATATTACAAAACACGTTGTCAACTGTTCACCTCCGTGAAAAATAAATTAGATAAACGTTTACTCTAGAATTTTATTAAAAAAATACATAAATATAATCCTGCTATAGCTTATAATTATTCTTCGTGTTTAATTCCGTTTAATAATATTGATAATGCGTACTAAACGTGAAAGTTTATAGACTATCTCTTGCATTCCATCATCATCCACTAAAAGACTAACCTTCGTTAGGAAGCCTCCAGCTACTGCGATGAAGTGCAAGAAGGGAACGGTCTCTTTACGCATGTAGACCTCACAGAGGCACAGCACTCTCTTCAACTCATGAGGATCGAGACAGAAGCCCTGCCACGCGTTCTTCAGCACCGGTAGTGGCACTTCAGACATGCCTATCAACTAAGAAATATAACAACTTTTTAGACAAGATAAAGAATCCACGATGATCGTGATTTCAGTGGTTTACTGCCTTACTGTTCTATAGTCGCGGGTTCAATTTCAACACAATACACAATATTTGTGTATATATAACATTGTGACGCGTATTATTTATTCTATCTAAGTCTCCAATTGAAACTGAAAAACTGAGAAACTCCAGTGTTTTTCAGTTTTTCAATGGTGGACTGGAAGAAATCCCTCTTTAGGAATAACATAGAATATAAATTGTAATTTTATACATACGTACAATAATTTATTGCAAACAAAAAAACCTTTTGTATTCGTATGAATGTTTGTATTGATCTGGGTGTATTCTATATCTTATCATATCATCATCATATACATATTAAATTCTTGTGTCACAATGTTAGTACCATACTCCTCCGAAATGGCTTGATCGATTTTTATGAAATTTTGTATACATGTTCAATAGGTCTGAGAATCGGCTACCATCTAGTTTTGATAAAGACAGCGACAGCGACTTTGTTTTATACTATGTAATGATGACTTATTCCAATGTTCCTATTTTTTTTAAATATGTTCGGCGACTTTTTAAAATGGTAAGAAATTCGTTTTGTCTATATTAAACAAATAACAATTTATGTACTGCGTACCTGATTAGCTAGAACTTTCAAGCAGCCCCTCGTAAGTCCGCCTTCTGTGCTGTACACAGGGTACTCAAGTCGCAACTTTACCGGTGGTTCCCGATGCTCGGCCAACGCTTTAAAGTACTCATAGGACCAACGGAGTAGATCGTAGGGTTGAGTTTTAATTGCCGCTAGAATATATTATGTATTTCTAAAATGGCTATGGAATTTGATGCAACCATGTTTTTGTATCATGATAAACAAATGTGTGTAGCAATTTTATATGAAAACACTTAAACCTACAAAAGTTGTCAAAGTTATAAATCTTTCCCCCGCAATTTTAATCGCGAGATTGTTTTCCCCGTAGATAAGTATGAATAAGTAGATACAAATAATTTTCTTAATAAAATCGTGCGAAAATAGTTTGTAGGTTGTATCCTGCCATAAAAATAAGAAGTAGTAGAAATTCACCGCTAATGTTGTGAAAATATAAATTAATATAGTTATTAAATATTTAATAGCATATCTATGCGTATAATTATATTCTTCGCACTTACCTTTGCAATACCTTTTCAGTATGTATGGAAACTTCGGGGGTATAACGATCTGTTGAGAACAGTACATTTGTTCTATCAGCTCTGGCATGATGAATAATCTTATTTCTTGATATTATTCCCTATAAAAAAATATAATTACAGAAAATTAGGTTTTTTAGCGTTGTGACTGTGCCTTCTCTTTTTGGATAAATAGATAGGTAAAATATTACTACATATTATTAATGATACGCATGTTATTGATAACGAGATAATTGATATCACGTTATCATACCGGACTTTTATACCCCCGTATCCTGTAATGTACTGCCATATCTCACCCTACAACCGAAACGTTTTACAAAGCAAGCAGATACCGAGTTAGCCACGCAGACGAATTTTTACAAGATCTATATACTTGTGATCTGTCTGTTTGTTACCCTTTAATCAGAAAAGCCACAATGAACTCCTAAACGCAATGACAGACAATGTAGATTGTATTTATCTCCATAAAGATAGAAGAAGTCGCGGAAAATGCTAGTACACAATAAATATCTAAAATATGTTTTATTCTAAACCAAATAATTTACCATAAATTACAGAAGTATTAATAAATTATAATAAAATGTATCACTGACCTGGCCTGAAACACTTCTGAAATGTCGCTTGAAAATAGGATGTTTGTCCCTGCTTGTAGTCATAGCGACCGCGTAAAAAATAAAATTTGAGTCTATGACCGGATGACCTTGGCTTTAGGGGAAGCAGGGTAAGTTGGTGTTAAGTGAACATTTATTATATATTTATTTTATTTGTTCATTGTTACCTAATATTTTGAAAGCTGCGACTTAGGTACCTTCATATTAGTATGTAGCTATTCCGTGTATAGGGTTTTTATAATACACAAAAATTAAAGAGTTAGTTTGAACTCCGGTTCCCCCGGAAAACAATCACGATAAATTCCTGATGAATTTGATATGACGGGCTATCAGATCTGACTTCATATTATTTATTTATTTAAACTTTATTGCATAGTACAAGATGCTATGCTATTAGCATTCTCTACTAGCCAGCCTTAGATATACTCGAAGGCGGTTTAGTTAATTAAATAAAAATATATTAAATACATATAAATGTTATAAATAATTAAATATAACATACATACATATAATATATATTATAAACATATTACACATATAAATAAGATGATGAGCCTTATTACAGTACTATGAGATACGATTTGAAAGATATTATTAACTCTTTTTTTAAAAGTATATTTAGAAGGAAGTGCACAGATGTCTTCTGGCAGTGAGTCCCAGAGACGTGAAGCTTGTAACATATTCATCTCATTCTCTCTGTCATTCTTTATATTCTGTTAGCTTAGGCGAGGTCGAATAAAATTATTTATTATATTATCCAATAAAAAAATAGATTAAGTGTGATAATTAAGTATTGAATGTTATTCTTTATTCTCTTTTTATCTTACTCTCTCACATCTCACCTCCATGCTTAAATGTAGTATAAAACATAGCTGTATAATTTTTTTACTTTTTGTGAGAAAATTTTGCACTAGTTTATTTCTCTTCTATTCTTATCATCCTCTTCTATATTCTATATCTAAAAAGCCTGTCGTGCGTTTTATCATTTCCAGTAACATAAGAAATTAAAGAAATCTCTGCATAATGGACATTCTTTGTAATCAACATAAAAGAAAATTCATTTCTAAAGAATTCACATTAATAATAAAATTTCTATTAGTTTCACGCATAGAAATAATCAACGCGCGTTGAAATTAAATTACTTATACTTTAATGCCATTTAGCGCCATCTACTAGAAATGTGCCGTACTATTTACAAAAAGATCGATGGATCACGTGGTAAAACGGGTTGCCGGAGTGCGATGTAAAAAAAACATAAACCTGTTTAGTGCAGTGACGTCTATCGTGATTCTGTGTCGTGCAATAGTTTTATTAGCAAAATATGTTGTTTTAACACGATAATATTGATACAGAGATACCATTTCATTTCATATTATAGACATTCCTTTCGAGTGACTGAGTCAGTGCAAGTTTTGTGTACATTTTATCCGGTATTTTGTCCAACCGAATGTCATAGTGTCTCATATCAAACACAAAACACGGAAAAATGTGTGTTCGATGATACTGATTGAATCGTAGTGCAATAAATTCATATTAATGGATGTGTACAGTGATAATATATCGGCGCAATGTGATACGACATAGTAATTGAGAAATGGGTGACAGGTTAAAGCATCCATTTAAGGTGAAAACAAAAACATTATTTGTGATAATCCAATCATTAGAATGGATGTAATTACGGACCTATCTCCCCTAAGTAAGTATTTCATTTTAGTTTTTTTTTAAAATAATAATAACATTAATTAATTTGCATGGTATTGTAAAATAAATAAAGTAAAATACATAGGTAAATTTTATCATTGAATTGTGGTGCCTAAATAGTGTAAATATTTTTTTGGGTAAGTGGATAGGCTTTTATACCTACTAGAAGTGCCTATGTAATACCTAACAGTACATACTATGCTCCAGATAGAAATTATTACCATTTTGGGTCACAAGTACACTGTACAGGGGGGAAGGGTATTGTTAATAATGTAGATTAATAACTCGATTGCTAGCAATGGTACATGTCAGGTTGACCTCCACGCGGTTACTCCTGAAAGCCATCATGTTAGATTTCTGGTGAATTTGCCGGGATGGGCTAACTGTCCTGACCTCATGCTCATCTTATCCTGCACCAAATATGTAGAATCACATCCAACAACCTACCGTGTCATAAAACTATTAATGCACTCTGGATTGTTAGTAATGTGGACTCTCGACACCATTCCCGCTGGAAACCATAAATTCCAGGTGAATTTATCACGATGGGATAACTGACCTGACCTCATAGTCATCTTATCCTCCACTGGTACCCCACCAGCGTAAACCATTAGCGCAGGCCGGTGCACCATTTCATTATCATATACAAAAAAACACCCTTATTAGATATACATATAATATACAGTCTACGGTTTTCTACGTTTGAAATTATATAAACAAAATCAATTTTTTATCTAATTTAAAAAGATTCCAGATTTACTAGTCATACGTACGTACTTATTACTTTATTTTCTATTTAAAATTTCAACACTTACGTATAATAAACAATTACCTACAATTTTTTTTACTGAACCACATAGATTATCATATTTTTAAAATACAAAAATTGTGTGACCCAAACCCACATTACTTATTATTTTGTTTTTTATTCTAAAACCTTATGTCAGAACTCGTTGTGGAGAAATTTGCTATCACGATAAATATTTTAAACCCTTCTAATGAATATCAGGCCAATTTATAAACAGCTATATTTTATTTCCAATTATTATCTCATTTTAAAATAGAATGACAAAACTTATTATTAATCATCTATTACTTGAAATAGTAATAGATGATTTTAACATATTTATACGAATAATAAGGATAGTCTAATTACTGAGAATGTAACCGGAAAATATTTCTTAAGTAGGTACTGATTGCGTTTCTACTCAATCTCATCACTAGAGGCCACCTATTCGAAGACTAATCATGCCGTGTCTTGCTTAGCCTCGAAGGTTAGCGAATTTATTAATATGTTATCAAAGTCTTGCACAGTTACAACTCGCATTATAAGTATTGCAGTGGGATTTAAAAGGTCTTTAAACCCGACTTGGTTCGCGTAGAATAAGTACCTACTAATGAATATGTCACTGCCAGATTAAGTTTAAATATGTGAAGTTTAATAATACGATTTTATTGCAATCAGAAATTGTCAATGTTACCACCGCAATTTACTTGACACTGAAACCTGGCACTATTACAAAAATCTCAATAATTGAAGACATAAAATAGACTAAGAAAATTAAGAACATAATAAACCATACAGACATGGCTGTATGGGCGGAGTTTAAATATAATGATACCAAAGTCCTTCCTATAAAAAAAAAAACTGATGTAATGGTGTTAGCAATTCCGTCAAGTTAGTTCTAAATTTAAATTTGATCTAAAAACACTGAAAATAAGCGCTACAATCCTTAATCTAAGGTCACAAAGTAACGTGCAGTAGCGACCTCTACAATATTTTTTTTCTCTTTATTTTTTTTGTATTTTTGTACACAAAATGTAACGATGACAATCCCATAGTACCTATACTAAATAACAAAAAAAAATATTCACTATAATATAATTTCCATAGCTGTCATTTTCACGTTATGTTATTACGAACCAATTTACCCCATTTCACTCGTTTGAGGTTGAATTAATTTAAGGGGGTCTTCCTATGTGAAATATAAAATATTTAGATTCAAGTTTTTTATCATTTATTAACACATATTTGGACAGTATAAATATAAAATTTCAGCTAAAAATATTCAGTCAAACTAGTTAAACACCCCCGCCTCGAAAAAAAGAGCTCCCACTTCCTCCACGATTCCGGCTGATCGGCTTATCTGAAAAAAAAAAAAAAAAACGGCGTTTTAATTTGTAGGCTTAAAAGCACGGAATGACCTATAATCAAATCAATATAAAAAAAATTGGATTTTTGATAGACATTTGAAATAAAAGTTGAAAATTAGGCGTTTTTTTTTTTGTTTTTTTGCTAAATTTAATAATTTGATCTAAAAACACCGTTTCTGAAAATAAAAACACAGCAAGTCCGTAAAAACTAAAAATATCAACTTAATCTAAGGCCACAAAACGACATCACTTACGTAACGTGCAGTTTCTCAACATACGCTTGGGCTTCACGACCAACAGGGCATCCCATACAATTTTTTTTTTCATTAAAGATAATAACTTTTTGAAGATAAAGAATTCAAAGATTCGTTATTGTTTTGTGTCTCTGCTCCTAAATTCAACGAATTAATAATTCGTCTTTCGATAAATCTTCGAAAACCGGTTTGATAATGTTACGGTCCAGTTCATTATGACAATCCTTATATTTACCTATACTAAAGAACATTTGTGATAACGTTGCCCAAACTTCCTTTCTCAAAAAATATTCTCTATAATATAATTTCCATAGCTGTCATTTTCACGTTACGTTATTACGAACCAATTTACCCCATTTCACTCGTTTGAGGTTGAATTAATTTAATAATTTAAAATATTGTTAGTTAATGATTCTGTCATTATAGTGACATCAATTGTTATGGAAATAAATCACATCGATTGTGAAAAATAATTTATGAAAACGGAAAAGAAATTATCGTTATATGAAATGGAGTTAGGTTGATTAATTTGATTAGGTAGGGTTTTTTTAAATTTGATTTGGTTTTTATGGAAGATAATATGCAATGTGTGCATTTACTTAAAATTTACTTGACGAGGTAAGTACGTGTATATTTTTTATTTTGATTTCATATTGAAAGGGTTTCAGATTATATACAACTTAAAAGATTATTTATTAAATTCATGTAACTGTAATTCTAAGTGTTGTCAGAAATGACATAAATTGCACTTAATTTCTCTTGTACATGTTGTTTTTTTGGTCTCCCTGGTTTGAAAATAATTGTTTTAATTTTTTTTACATTATACTAAAATATGTAAATATGTTTTTTGCTTGCAATATTAATTTATATATATACGGAATGTAAAAACAACTCCCTTCTTATAAAAACTAGTTGTCGCCCAATGGTCGAAATTCGACCATAATTAATTTAAATTATAAGTTGAACTTTATTTAGGTTCTATTATCATACATTATACTTCTATGTTTTTTTTTTATCGTTTTAATATAATCTTTATGTAAAATAAAAAAAATAGTATTCTGTACTCTTTCTTTATATAAATTATTATATAATTGTGCGAAATTTCAAACTCCTTAGTTTGCGAAATTTTCAAAAAATGGGGTACAAAGCCTTTTTTTTGCTTCACGTATTAATATTATAATTAATATCTAAAAATCCATTACAACTATCGCATTCTTCTATCAACAAAGTACAAAAGTAAACAACAAAACATTTCTACAGAGTAATAAATAATAATATATAGTGACGTTTAATAAATAAAGGGGATAATCTGTGGTATGGACGAGTACCTTCCGTTTATAGGTTAAAGCATTTGTACTGAACCTTCTAATGGTGACAACGATGATAGATGTAGTTTCATCACAAAGATTCCTAAATGGATATACAATGGACGCGTCGAGATATTGTACTACTATTATCTTGTTGCGAGGTATCCAAAGACGTCACTGTAGGGTTGTGGTTTTTTTTAGTGAGCATATTTTTAACTCTTGTAGCTTCTGCGTTTGCGCTTCAGGATTACGCTCGCTTTAGCACAGAATGTTAAATGTTTTTGAAGTTTTTTATTTGTTTAGTTTATATATACATACATTTGTTAATACTAATAGTTATGTTATTATTGTATTATACATATGTGTGTTAAGTACTATATATATAGTTTGAATGTTATTCATATGCGTGTGTTGTTTTTAGATTTATACATGGTAATATTTACAAGAAAAGTAATTGGATTTGCGATGTTCTTACTTTCAGGAGGAGTGGTAGTTTCATTTTATATGCTGACTCCGCAAACGTTCTTTTGCCAATTAAGTTAAAACGGTGACAATTTAGGATTGTGTGTATTTTTTAATGCAACATTGTAAAAAACGTTAAAAATACTTGACACGAAAATAATATGTTAAGTGTTGTTCGTGTTCTTTAATAGACTTAAAAAAGAGAAGGTTCTCATTTTGACTGTACTCTTTTATTTGTAAAAATTTAAACTCTTCTAGGTGAATCGTTTTTGAAAATTATTTCTTTATTGACTACATTGTTGATGTTTTCATTCTGATGATATATTATTATATGTCTATGTATAAATTTGTGGTGAAACCCCTTTCATTGAACTTTTTATTTTTAAAAATTAATATATTATAAAAATTTGATTATACATTCGTCAGATTATTGCAAAAAGTGACATTATATTTTTTTTATTAATTTACTAAAATATTTTAAGTATTTCTTTTATAGAATATATGGTATTAAAAGGCTTTTAATTGTCAAGTGGCATTCATTTATTATTATTAAAATGGCATTAAAGTGACATAAATCCACTTAATGTGTTACTGCTATCCCTAATCTTCATCCACATCATCTATTCATCAGATCCATCACATAATCTGAATAATTATGTCGGACAATTAAAAAAAATTAAAAATTAAAAAACTTACACTTAAAAAATAATATTTCGTAGCCTGGACACGCAAATAATTATTAACACACATACAGAACATGCTCCTGCTGTTTTTATTGATTTTTTTCTGTAGAATGTATCTTAGTTTTTGGTTTTCTT